TGAAGCTTGCTATGGCACCTTGGCGTCAAAAGTCAACAGGCTGAGATCGTGACTGCCTCGCTTAATCGGAGTGAATAGTGCGTGTCTGTGAAGTTGATTCTATTCCTAGTACCGAGAATGTGGCCGAGTAAGAAGCCAATCCTGCTGTAGGCCGAAAGTCTAAGTGGAAATTTGCAACATGTATCGATACATGCAGTTAAATTTAAGTTGGATTGTTTGCACCCAAGCGCAATTACATGCACGCAATTCTAACACAAAGTTTTTTTCGTTTCTCTCGCCTAAACGCAAAAAAAAAAAAAAAAGCACAAACTAGATCAGTCAAAATTCAATTCTATTTTCCTGCCTTTCTGATGCGGTTTCGCAACTTCCTCCTTCGACATAGGTTTGTCGCAGTGGTCATTGGCCCAAGCAGTGGAACAAAGAAGCCGTAAACACTCAAAACAGCCAGCCAAGGTGCACACGTGGGACATCTCGCCCATTTGCCCCGCCAAGTCGTCAGCATTTTTGACTACATACATACGACCAGACCAACCTAGGTAACTTGCCTTGTTTTCTTTTTTCGTTTGTTTGGTTGGGGGCATCTGATCCCCCCGTCTGGTCACCAGTGGCAGCTCCGCGATATATCTAAACCTCTACAATATCTACCAGAGCTTCTGCCTGGGAAGAACCTCAAAGGCACCGGATCTCTCGCCACAGAGGTACGACGCTGTAGCGAGGGTCCGGCAGGGCGACTTGATGCCCACCATTCAACTCTTGCCGCATCCATCTACACTTGCTTCTCGTTGGATGCAACATCTCAGGCAATAGCTTCAACATGGACGCCAAAGGGGCCTCTGCCTCAACGCCAAGAGGCATTCGAAAATCCAACTCGACAAGATCAGCTGGGGCGCACTCCACCACATCACACGAATCTGTCCGCGTTGTCGGCGTCCACCCGCTTGGAACTCTTCGAGTCTTGGGACCTGAATCGTCTCCTCGCATTTCGGAACAGAATGACGTTGAGGACGACGACGACCAAGGGCCCCCTCCTCTAGAATCTCCGGCTGAAAATGCCTATGGCCTGTCTGGAAACCAGCATAACAGTCCCCAGAGCTCATCCGCGAGCCCAACCAAAAGGTCCAGAGACCCCCAGGCTCATGAAATGGGAGGGGGCGATGTAGCCGTCATCCTTGATCTGCCCGACCTTTTTGTCGTTGCCTACGATAGTGTTTCATTCACGGCCCAGAACTTTGTGGGCGTGAGGGATGTCCCGGCTGGTCCTCATTTCTTCTGGGTTGCTCACCCAAGCGGTGTTGCTGCACGCGACGGGGTCTGGCTCCTCGGCTCAGAGTCTCAGAACCATGTTCACGTTGTGCAATGGGACTCGTACAACGAGATGCTGACCGAAGCCACTCGCTCAGAATCTCGCAATAGTGCTGAGAGCATGCCCAATATTCATGCCCAGCTCGTCCCTTATGCCGACCCGTCGCGGCTCACCGAAGGTGGTGGCCAGCTATCTGTGTCCCAGGTCGAGAGAAACCGCCGCATCTGGAATCAATTGACGACTCATGTCAATGCGACAGTATTGAACCGAATCACAGGACCCCAGGTAGGTGGCTGGATTGTGCATACCCTTGATCGTGCACAAGGCGCCCTCAAGTTTTCCCCCGAGGTAGAATTGGAGCGAGCCGTCCCCAATAGGAATCTCCAACGGCGAGAGTTGCATTTTGCTTTTCAAAGTACAACTAGGCTCTTCTCAATCGAGTCCCTTGGGTCTGAGCGCACACGTGAGGCTACCGATCCTAGCATCTATCTCATGTCTCAGATTGAAGACACAAAGAACAATTTGGTTTATGACGACTTGCTCGGAGAGTTTCAGTTTGCCTTCGTTGTAGGCGTACACCTTGGAAACGACGCCAGCCTCGAGCAATGGTGGTTCATGCTACTCAAACTCCTCATCAAATCTCATCTTCTTGTACAAGGGCAACCCGTGCTTGTGGCATCCATGTGGCACACCGTCGCCGCACAAATTGCATACAGTAGTCAATGGATGGAAAGCTCAGTCTTTGAAAATAACGACACCAGGTGCCGAGAGTTGCGTATTGCTCTCATCATATACAAACGCCGCATGGAGGAATTCCTCTCAGATGATGAGAACATTGTTACGCCAGACCATCTTGCCGTCAGCACAGCCTTCTCCAGGCTCGAGGCTGTCTTGACCGATATTGGATGGGACCTCAGCGGTGACTACCTCAGAAAGGGCATTGTCGTCATGGAAGATGGAGAAGAAGTAGAACTGGAATTGACCGACCTGGAGGCTGAAGACGAACGCGGTGAATGGGCACCAGAGTTTGTTGAGCTGGATGAGAATGGCCGTGAGCGAGGCCTGATTTCTTGGTCTGACTAGACAACGAACAAGGCAAGAAATATTTCAAGCACTCAGGCGTCTCATTACTTCTATTCCAAAGCATTACGAAGCCCCATGTTCTGTGTTGCTAAGCACAAGAACCGGGTATATGTTTTCTTTTCTTCCCACACCCCCTTTTTTTTGCTTTTCATATGCCCAGTGCAATAATAACTTAATCAGGTGGGTAAATAGCATGGCGCAAGTACTGGAAAAAAAAAAGCAAAGGAATTGAAAAGTTTGTTTCTGCAAAACACGCTATGGAGTAAAGGAATTCCTCAAGGCTCGGGAAATAGTCATGTCTTTGGATTGAGGTTCTGGGTTTTTAGGTATTGGATCACACCTTTTGGCGATGTAGGTTTGTTTGAACGGCCATAAACAATGGGCAGCTCGACGATGACGAGCGAGAACAGGCGTTCAGGGAACACCTGACGTGTTCGTACAACCAAGACTAGGCGCTACAGCCAAGATTCCGGTATAGATTGGGGGGTGAGCTTGACATACATTGCGCACCACCAGTTCACTTTAGTATCAATACCGAAACTTTCTGGTTAGCATTCTGTGGAATATACTTGGACCTGAATGAATAGCGTCCCGCAGCTGGCCAGTTTGATGTTGCTCGTCGTTTGAATTGTCTAAATCATGCGATGACAAAATATATACGAGAGTATAACGCTAGTGTATACGGCATATGATCTGTTCGATAAGAATAACTTGTGCAAATTTTCTGTCAATGCCCACTGATACTAACATAAGGACATGGCAAAATGCCAGGTATTGCAGCATCATACACATAATTCACAGAGCACTGGCGATGTGTTACGTGAACGTTTAGTATTTCATTTGCCTGTCAGACCGTTTACAATCCGTTCAAAGCAAGTCCATGCAAATGCCAATGGGAAAACCTATCCCCGTACCAGGGAATATGAGACTCCGACCCCGTTTTGTGTGTCCACACCAAACATGACATCGCCCTCTCCAGCTCGCATTCCAGATTTGTTATCCCCCACCTTGGCTCTCCCTCAACCCCCCCTCGCCTTCAAAAACTTGTCAAGCTGACGCGGCACAGGCAAAGACAATACGAAGCCAAGACAATGGTCCTCCCTTTTCTTGTTACTGCCGGACTCGTATGATGCCGCACAACGTCAACCAAACAAGAATTCTCAGTCTTCCCGTCCCCGCTAACCGTCGAAATAAAACAAGACTTTGCATTTTGTCGTGCAAGGCCTTTATCGGTAAGACTTCTGGAAGCGGGCTCTGGCACCGGGACCACCGAACTTCTTGGGCTCGCAGCGGCGGTTGTCGGCGACAAGCAGGGTGCGGTCGAACTGGACGAGGGCCTGCTTGAGCATGTTCTTGGAGTGCTCGTCGACGTACTTCTGGTAATAGGCGATGAGAGACTTGGCAATGGCCTGGCGGATAGCGTAGACCTGGGAGGTGTGACCACCGCCAGAGACGCGGACGCGGATGTCGACGTTGGAGAACTTGTCGAGGCCGACAACGAGGAGGGGCTCGTAGACCTGCGACACGTTAATCTTGGCACAAGAGAGAGAAGGGGAGAAGAACAAAGGGGGCGGGCGACAAGGTGCTGGAAGTTGTCCGTTGTTTGCCACGAAAACAGAAATTTGGATATCCGCGGTCCATGCCACCCCATGCCAACGCAGCAAAGAGAGATTGCTCAAGCTACATCCTCATAGATTTAAAGCTCATCTGGGGCCCTACGCCTCGTAGCTTGATCAACAAGTTGTGCAGCATGCAAAGGAGGGCAAGAAGTGGCATGGCTGTGATATTTTTCGGTGTTTCCAGGACGGCAACGGAGAATCCTTCCAGCGCCCTTTTCCCTGCCCTTCTTCTTTCCAAGTGGCATCATCGTACCTTGAAGCGCAAGATCTCGGGCTGAACCAGGCTGAGGGGACGACCGTTGACCTTAACCAGACCACGGCCAGCCTATATCAAGAAAACAACATCATGTCAGTCGGTTTCGGTTCTCCATTTGAGTCGTGAATAAGGCCGGGTGATTCTCGAGCCCGAGGGAGGGGGTCTTGTTCCTCCAACGAACCTTGCAGTGGGCGACGGCGGTGGCCGTCTTCTTCTTGCCGAAGCATTGCACGCTCTGTGTCGTCGAAGACATGATTGCTGGTTTTGTCTTGGGTGTTGCAAGTGAGCGTTGCAAATGATCGAACAGGCGGGACGTGATGGAGTTGCTTGCTAGTCTCGCTCACCCGGCGGAATTTTTCGCATAGAGAGGGTTTGTGCCCTCGGGAGACGCTAGTCTGCTTTCATTGTGCAGGGGGGCGGATGGATTTTTTTTTTGTGGGCATCCCTCAACTCCTGAATTGTGGTCAAGCTTGCGCTTTCCCCTTAGTGCAAAATTAGACGAGCAACCACCCACACGGCCCACCAGAAAAGCAGTCCTCACGTGATAAACAGCCCTAAACCCTTCGACTTAGCGTCTCATTGTGGCATCCGCCAAAATTTCGCCTCGAGTGAACATCACGCCGGCCAACTTTTACAGCCCATCAGACCAGGAGTATCCGCCGTCAAGGTAAGATTATATACCCTCACATAGCGCCGATATTTTACAAGATAATTGCCATACTAACTTGTTGGTATCAAGATGGTTTCCGCCAAGAAGCACGTCCCCATCGTGAAGAAGCGTACGTATAATGTCCACTGCTGTCTTGCCGCCAAAGACGACCCGTGTTTCTCCCGATTCGAAACGACTCGATTGCTCGGTTAAGGGAATGAAAGAACTCATGAGTTCTCGAGTTGTTGCGAAAGCGGAGGAGCCGGCAGAGATAGTGGTCGGAGACTGGAACTTTCGACCTATGCAGAAATACTGACTTGGTGATGAAACCAGGCACCACGCGCTTCAACCGTCACCAGAGTGATCGGTTCAAGTGCCTCAGCGCCAGCTGGCGCAAGCCCAAGGGCATTGACAACCGTGTCCGAAGACGCTTCCGTGGAACCATGGCCATGCCCTCCGTATGTTGATTCGCTTCCTCTCGCCGAGTTATGTCACTTCAACCCCCACCATGGTGGACGTACTAGACGTGGGAGAATCATGTTTCCTTCCCAGTCTGGCACGATGCAAACATGGAACCGGTTGATTGAATGACAAGACAAGGACGAATTCATTTGCGCCAGAGCGAGGAAAATGCTGACGAACCGGAAAACTATAGATCGGTTTCGGGTCCAACAAGAAGACTCGTTACATGATGCCCTCTGGCCACAAGTCTTTCCTTGTCAACAATGTCAAGGATGTCGAACTCCTGATGATGCACAACCGAACCTACGCCGCTGAGTACGTCTACTTCATCCCCCCAAAAGACGGGTTTGCGGCAAACTTCCTCAGGCCCACCAAGAAGCATTTATCCAACGAAAAGGGACAGAGAGGCAGGAGAGAAAACCCATACTAACTAGTCACCCTACAGGATTGCCAGCGCCGTCTCCTCCCGAAAGCGAATTGACATCATCGCCCGTGCTAAGCAGTTAGGAGTCAAGGTCACAAATGCCAAGGCAAAGGTCACTACCGAGGTGTAAATGAGTTTTTGGGGGGCGAAACAAATCGGTTCTGGGACTGCTTTCACGGATTGCATCGGACTGGGGGTTTTATCATTGAGTCTTTGCGTTACCACCCAAAAAAACATACAACATGTCAAGGCCCAGCTGCTCCATCCTTTTGGTTTTTTTTTTTTTTGTGATGAAGAGTGAACAAAAGTGATGAACTGTTGCGGGCTGTGGCATCAACACGCAGCGAAAAGTAGCATTGGCCATTTTCTGCTGTTATACTGGCAATTTTACACGTCCTAGATCTTGCTAGTGGGGGAAATGGACCAACGCAAAATGAGATACATGCCCCCTTGACGCAATGGAAGTTATTACTCCATCGGAATACAGAATTAACCCTGTGATACGTGTCGCTTCGTGATGTCTTCAAACCAGTGTTTTGTGAAAGTTGAAGCATTGGTATTGAACTACATGCCATACGTTCAGGACAAGATGGGAAATGAGCAACCTGCTTTGAGCTGGAAATGATGAGACAAAGAAAAGGGTAGGCCGAGCATTCATCTCATCGCAAGCAAATGCATGAATGGCTAGAAGCGCAGAATTCCGGCCCTTGGTTTCATTTGGTCCGCTCCAAACGTCGTTGGTAGCTGTAAATACATCTAGTAGTAACGCATGGAAATAACTGTCTCGGGCACAGTCCACTGACGAGAAGGGTTGGTTAGGCTTTAACGTGGACAATGATATGCAATTCTCACTTCAGCTCGCGTACATTCCATTGCAAGCAGTGACAGTTGTTCGTATTTGCAACCCTCTGCATCTATACAGTATACACTATACAATATTGTACAATCCTCCATCCCGCATATGACCACAAATGTCCTTATGTGACGAGGCCGTAGAGCTCTACAGCTTCACAGTTCACTGACAAAACTATTTACTCCTTTTCCCGTGCTAGACTCTCAAAGTCTGCATTTGCTAATTCTTTGCAGATTATCATCCAAAAAAGAATAAGCCCCTAAAGAAAAAGGAAGAAGAAAAAGTAGAACAAAAGCATGCAGGTATCGCACGGCCCAATCCCTGCGTCGCTGGTCCAGGAACCTAGAGTTGCGGCTTGGAGAGAAGGCTTGCAAACCTGGCCTTTCAAAAATGGATAAGGGACCAATGAAAGGTCCATCCGTGAAGACAAAGAAAGATGTTATAAGAAGAAACGAGTGATACCAAGCAGAGGCCAATCGCTCTGCATGGGATAATCTTCCATAATTGGTTCTTTGTATGTGCATTGTGCAAGTATCTCATATCAGCATGTTTATCCTTCCTTAATATCCCGATAAAACATCCGGAGCAACCCAAGAATTGGAAGCCAAAAGATAAGAAAAAGGGGAGGAAGAAGCTCAAGTAGCAGGGCAACTGAAGAACCGGGATTGAAAGATGCCGGGGGTAAATCTCCAGCGCGCATTCCAAAGTGCCACTTCATCGCTTTTTCAACTCAAATCAGTTCAGACCCCGACGCCGTAGTGGCCGATGAGAGACGTGTATGTATTTGGTCTCTTCAGCCCAGATGCCTATATGCCAAAGAAGCAAGTCGTTGCAATGTGGATAACTTTGGTATCTCGTGTGAATGCAAAATATACAACAAAAAAGATGACAGGGAGTATCAATCATGGCATGACTAAATTCCTGCTCGCAGTAAGCTGTTATTCAAACGCCCTGCTCAAAATCTAAATGGTGCCGCGAAGACGCTGCTTTCTGGCAAGCCAATCTCCGAGCATATTGTCAAGTTGCTGCAGAACTCAAATATCAGTGCTGTCATCTTCCATGTAGTGGACGGGCTGTTGCTTACAGTCGTAATTTCTGCCAGTTTGGCATTTTGTTCTCGGAAGAGTCCGCCGACGACAGGATGGTCAATTCCTGCAGGTTCAACATTTGTTTTATCATACACAACCGCCAGGAGATCCCGAATGTGGTCGCTTTCATCAAAGAAGGCCCGAAGCTTTGTGTCATCCCATGCCCCCTCCTTTCCACTGCTGGCGGAGCTGCTTTCTCTAGCAACATCATCAACAGTCTCTTCAGGCTCTGGCGATGGCGAAGCTTCTGGCGAATCGCCTTCCGGCGACGAAGTATCGACCATGAGCGCAGGTGGATTGGATGCATTGGCAGGCGAAGACGACCCATTTCTCTCGAGAGTTTGATCTATGGGGCTTTGCTGGGCGCGAGCAGCTCCAGCCGTCGTAGGGGTTTGAGAGTTGTCAACACGAGATCTTGTGGGTTGGTCGGTCTGATTTCGATGTTCCGGTTCTGCAAGTGCACCAGAAGCCGCATTTGGTCGCACCGTGTGAGCTTCTTCAAGCTCGGAGCTGTCAGATGTATCAAGTTCCATGCGCATCTTGGCCTTTACTGTCTTTTGCGGTTTGGGGTCACCAGCGCTTCGGGAAGGCACAAGTTTAGACATGACTGACTTTTCCTCTTTCTGACCAGCCGATGATGCTGACCGCTCCCTAGAAGCGTCTCGAGTCTGTGTCTGGTTTACCGGCTCGTCTTGCGCTTCATTCGTGTCAGGGTCGACAAGCCGCATAGATGCTGGTGGAACGCTTGAGACATCGTTTGTTCTACCTTCAGCAAGATATGACGAAAGTTCAACCGATTTCTGAACAACCCCTGCTGCCTTGTTGCTAGGCGCAGACTTTTGAAGCTTGGAGGGTTGTCTCTGAGATGCTGCGCGGTCTGGCGATAACGGTTCCTCCAGAGAGCGGTCTTCGCTATCTCGTGATTCAGACATAATATCCATGGATCGCTTGCCGAACGACTCATCATCATCTTCAGAAGTTTTCTTTTTATCTTTTCTTGAGAAGAAACCCCGAAGACCGCCAGGCTTCTTATCCTTGTCCTTCTTATCCTTGTCCTTCATTTTCTTCTTTTCCTTGTCGGAAACTAGTTCCCGGTCCATCTTGTCCAAGCTTGACCCTGATCTAGCATCCTTAGTAGTTGAGTCACTGGATTGTCTTGGTGTATTATCGTCGCGCAGGAGATTCGGAGTAAGAGTAATTTTCTTAGTTTCCACACTCTCATCTTTGAAGAACGAATCAGTGTTTCTGACAGTTCCGTTCCTCGACCGACTGGGACCTTCAGGCTTTTCGTCAATGGATTCCTCGCTGCTCCTTGTATCGTCATCATCTGTCCGTACGTCCTTGACGGACTCCGTCGCAACCTTTTCCTCATTCGATGGCCGAGTTTTAAGAGGTTCAACCTTTGCAGTCTCATCCGTGATGGCATCTTCCGCGCCATTTTGCTTATCTTGTTGTTGCTCTTTTTGATGCTGTGTATTCGTCTGGGAGCCGAACAACTCTTCGATATCTTCATCATCTGTGGAGTAATCGAAGTCGGAATAATCAACATAGGTGGGATCTGCAAATGTCACCGTTTTCCGTCTCCTTCGCATGGATTTGAATGAGCTCTTTTTGCTTTGTGCCTGGTCACCGAGCATAGTTGCAGAAAGCTGGAATTGATTAGTCTCGAGGGATTCTGTTGCTGGTATTGGATTTGCACGTACATCAATATTTCTATGTTTGTTTAACCGTGCTAGTCGTTCAGTGGGCGTTTCTATGTGCTCAGCAGGAAGATAACCTACATGCATTACATATCAGCAAAGGTTATCGACAACGGCATATTGGGTGTGGGATTGACACTTACCGATGCTGCTATCCTTGACTACTCGCACCAGCCACCAGTAACTATTGCTATCATCCAAAAGTACCATTGTGTCGCCCTTGGTGGCATTCGCTTGGCCTTCCACGGTAGCGACGAAGGTGTGGAGAGCATAAACGAACTCAAAGTCGATATCCTCTGTTTCAAGTAAGCATTCGTCCTCACTACAAGGTTCAAGCAAGCCAGCGTGACTAGATGGTGAATGAATAGAGTATACATGACGGTCTCCCGAGGTTTCCATTTCAGCAAAGCATTGAGAGTCAGTCGGGACAAACAGGGCCCCAAAATTCTCATCGAAGCTAGCGAACTTTGCGCTACGAGAGCCATCGCAACAAGGGGATGCAAGAGAATTATCAAATCGACAGGCGTCGAAGGAGTGTGCTTCAAAAACCGAATCCGGTCGAGCACGCATGAGCAAGGGACTCTAAGCCTTGGTAAGACGCGCCGAATTCTCGGGCCGGTCTGTGATGACACAAGGGAAACAATCCTCTTCCTGACAACTAGCTCTATTGAGATGTCCGATTTCAGGTTCGGTGAGGCCTTCGCATTCTTCCTCACAATCCCAACGTCTGCCCACGTTTGACCATGTATATTGCCGTCGAGAATCGAACCGATGTTGCCACTCAGCAACAGACTCGGATTTGCTGCATTGTGATACACTTGTCTCAGGAACGGGGAGAGCCTGCTCGGGATTGACGCAGCCTACGGTTACTGGCTCAACCATTTCGAGTGGCATGTTCGCAATATCCAATTGTCGGGTAAGTGACGTGAGCGAGGACTCACGCCGCGGCCAAGCCGCTGGCATTTCAACAGGGTTCAACGCACCGTCTTCTATAGAGGGAGAACTGGAAATCTTGTCCACCATATCATCATCTAAATCGTCGGCGTCGGCGTCAAGGTCATCTTCATCTGCGGATGAGACGCCGCCATTTTGCGCAATGGCTAAGGCGTCTTGCTGTTCGTGGTGATACATTTCGATATCCAGGCTACCTTCGGCGACGTCGTGCTTGGCTGCAGCTGGATGGTCGTCAGCGTACTGTTGAAGCAAGTCGCTGGTATCGTCGTCGGCTTTTCCGTTGGCCCAAGACACCCTCGGGCTATGTGCCTCGGCTGCGGCAGTCTCTAGAGCGACGTCACGAAGTGTCTCGGCCTGGTGAGGAGCAATTGACAGGCCCGGAGCGCCAGGCAGCGTATCGGAGAGGTGAGAGTGGTTGGAGTGGTGGTCCTTTGCCGACGGTGCAACGTGATCCTGAAGGTCGAGGGTGTCTGTTGGATGCGACAGCGAGCACAGAGAAGTTAGCAACAGTCGAGGCTTGTGCAGGGCAGCAAAACAAAATTTTGGATCTGTGTCTACAGTGGAAAGATCAGGCAAGCTGGCAGGCGGCTGGAATGCACTGATCCGTCGCAGACGAAACAGCCTAAACGGCGTGAAGGGTCCGACGTGCGCGGTCGCGAGGAAACGAATCCTGGGTTGGAAACAAGAGCGACCAGGGTATGAGGGGAGAAAGGAGGGCCATAGCATGGCATGACAACAGATGGACAAGAAAGAGACCAGGGGACAGACAAGGCGGATGGAAACGTACCGGCACGAATAATTGACGGCCTCGTCATTCTCAAAGCTGTGGCCCCGAGAACCCGGTGCGCCAAGTGACACGGCGGATTGTGCTCCGAGTGATGTCGAAGGTCGACGTCGAGTGACAAAGGACAATGGTTCCAAAGGACGAAGGGAGGCAGACGGCAGGAGAATGGCGCGGGAGCGGAGGGCGAAAGACTATTGTAAGACGGGGACCAGTGGATGATCCTGGATGATCAACGGCCCTGCAAGAAAGGCCAACTTAGAAAAGGGCTGAAGCGTTGCCGTCGGTGCAGACTACGCAAGACCAGCAAGGGGTAGTACTACTCCGTTGCTAAACCGAATTGAAATCGACAAATTCTTTGTTTCGGCTTGGCCTTGGCTGAGGCTGAGGCTGCACGCGGTGAACATGAAGCAAGACTCGAGACTCGAGCCTTGAGATTTTGCGCTGCCAGCAGAAGAGGGGGGGTTTGAAGGCTTGGAAGGCTTGGAAGACTTGGAGACGCTTGTTGGGTCCAGGGGTCACGACCGACTTCGAAGTTGGGCAGGTTTCTGCTTTCGGGAGCCGTGCACCGGCGAACAGCCCGTAGCCGCTGCCTGATTGTGCAATAATAAACAGAAACCGACGGAGAGGGCTGAGATGAATTGGACTCAAGTAAAATTGAGTTAAATAGAATTGCAATGCAAATGGGAGAAGACGTGCCGAGTTGCCCAGGTTAGTTAGACAGGGCGAGACAGGAGTTGTCAGTCAGCACATTCATGCTGAATTATGCGGCGCTAAAGCCCAGGCAGATATAATGAGGAAGGTACGGAGTGCCAATGCAGGCCTAGTACGTGCCCAATACCTCTAAGTACTTAACCTAGGTACCTGGGTAGGTACCTAGGTAGTTAGAGCACATGTCACTACCCACCAAGTACTTATCTACTAATAGGTATCCGGCGTTAAAGAGAAAAAGAAGAAAGGGAGAAGAAAGGAGAAGAAAACGTACTCAGAGTTGGTCATTCTACTTGTTCTACTTACCGCAACACTACTAAGTGCACATGTGCGTGCAGCAGGGGCAGCAGGAACAAAGGACAAAGACCTACATACACAGTACCTACTAGGTAGTACTAGTAAGTCAACATTGAACGTTGAATGCTCCCGTTCTCAGGAGAATCAGTGAATCGTGCTTCAATGTCTGACCTGACTGACCTGGCCGTTGGCTGGCTGCGTCCAAGTACTAGCCCATTCCGCTTCCAAAGTCGCTATGCCTGGCCTTGATTGGCCGTGAGACGGAGTACTACGGAGTTAATCCGCGCCCGGTTGGTCCGTTGCTTCCCTTCCTTGGCGCACAACACAATGCTGATTTTATGCACTTTACTTGTTGGCACATCCCAGCTGCGATGCAACACTCACACATCCCTAAGTACTTGTCACTCGTCCTATTGTCCTTTTTACTCATCATCTATCGGTATTGCATTTGACAGCTACTTGCACAGATAATCTACATGAAATGTCGAATAATCCGTGGCCATGTCCCATTCGCGCATTGACCGCCCGCCTTTTCCTTGGCTTAAACGCCCTCCTCGATAGGTTGAACCCAATCCAGTCATATCGTCTACGACTCATTTGTACAACCGCACTTGTCTCGTACCACCACCACAGCACAAGCGGCACATCCATGCCACTGCCCTTTCTTGATCGACAGATTCGACACGAACTGCCACCTCATCCTGTGGAACAAATCGTAGCCGAAAATAAGAAGCTTTCCATCATAACCTATTCCTAGGTGCAAGTCACCAAATAGGTTGCATATCTTTGGCCCATTACCCCTTTACCATTGCACCCCTTTACCATTGCCATGAGATCCAAATTGTGTTTGTATGTATAGACATGTTCGATAGTATTGGTAGTCTAACTCAATGGCCACAATATCCCTCGGATTTTCGTACGTTTCACCTCACTGTATTTTATCCCATATTTTTGAATCTTGTCCAACCTATTCTCCAGTCCGAATGCTTAGCAATATTCAAAGTAAAAAACTTGCAAGATCTGTTTAAGAAAAATACGAAGTAAAATAATATCATGATGCACCTTCGCAATGCTACTGTGTATCTCTCCACGTTGTAAATTATTCTTCATTTAAACCCACAAACTCAACTCTGCTCCTATTCACTCAAGCCTGAGATGGCTCAAGAAGGGATTTTGCGAGAAGCCAACCCCGAAAATTGGCTCGGCGCGTTATAAGGCTGCGCGTCCGCTAACAGACATGCGTCTTACTTGTTCAGCGCCGTTCGGCTGGCCGGTGATTTGCGCCATACGCTTTGACATGCTGCGATACTGTTAGCAAAATGTCTCTCTAGGTAACACGTGATGTCTTCATCGAGTCGAAGTAGCATTAACTTACAAGTCAAAGAAGGCAAATTGGCTAGGCTCACTGCCAAATTCATACACGAAGCGACTAGCCAAGAAGCTGCCAAAAATGGCTCTCAGGTACGACTCGGGCACGCGAGAGATAATGGTCTTCAAGCCAATCTTCTGCAGAAGCAAGTTGGGCAATGCGTCTTGCAACACTGCGTGACGGATCTTCTCATTACCCCACAAATCGGATTGCTGAAGCTCCTCATCCAGAGTAGTGATGGCGTTGGACAACTTGTCTGAGAGAATAGAGCGAGGCACACCGGTCGCCTCATGCTCACGCCAAATAGCCTCAAACTCAAGGCGGGCATTCTCGCGGATCTTGGCCTGGACCTCACAAACATAATCGTTATAGAACTGTGGTGCCTGGCCAGTCTTGGCGTCGACACACATGTTCTCGACAAAGCCTGCATCATCAAATGAAAGAGACGCAAGAACTTCAAGTGAGGAAGAAGTAACACCACCCTTGTTTGCAGAAGCATCCTTATAAAGGATGCAGCCGGCAGCCTCGAGCCTGAGCTTAGCATCTTGCGTGATGAAAAGGTTGGCTCCCTCCACAATGTACGGAATGGTGGACTTTCCATCCTTGATGAGTCTGCTGACGGAAATCAGGTCAATAGACTCGGGTCGACCACCGCAAGGAACGAAAGCATCCGTCATTCCAGTGTCACGAAGATGATAGGTATTTCTGAAAGAGGTGCCGTTGGTGATGACTTCGCCCGTAGGGAGAGTAATATTAGTATCCTCGCAAAGGACACGGTAACCATCCTTGGACACCTTGCTCATGTCGTACTCGCTGATCATGGCACGCTTCTTAGCCAGACGGACAAGCTCATCCTTATCAAGACCGTTAGGGTCAGCGATGACACCAGAGCCGTCAACAATAGCAGTCCACTTCTCATTGCCGAGGAGGATTTCGTTACTGCCCAAGTCACCATCCGGACCACCAGTCTGCATCTTGCGCACAGTAGCAGGGTCAAGTTCAAGCTTCCTGTAAATACCCTTGACGTACTCACGGACGGAGAGCGTCGTCATGCCATACTTGTCGTGAGGAATGCCTCCAAGCTTCTGCGACTTGCCGGTGAAGAAAGACTTCCACCATGGGGCACCGCGTGCTCTGGCATGCTCGGTAGCCCAATTGACTAGATCAGCCGTATTCTCATCGGGGCCCATGAACAGGATTTCTTCCTTTCCATAGAGATCTACGAGCTTGTTCTTGATGCCCGGGGTCTGAGCTGGTAGAAGCAGATCGAGGATACTGTCAATGTATTTCTCGAAAGCTTCCTGAGCACGGTCTTGCTGCTTGGGGTCGAGAAGAATAACACCCTTGGATCCACCCTCAGGGATGTCCTTGTTCTTTCGCTGCTGGGTACTAGCCAGGCCATAATTCTCATCGAACAAGTTGCGAGCATTAATGCCGTAAGCTTCTTTGCTTCTGGACTTCACAATACGGATACCACCACGTGAGATATCTCGGAAACGGAGGTGGAAACCCCGCGACTCAGCACCAATGACAAGGAACATGCCATACAGACGACGAGGATATTCCACCTCAGGCAAGAAGGCAGGATCCAAGCGGAAGCTAAGAGCAACCTTAGTAGGGGTGAAGTAGTTGGTCTTGAGAATAGCGTTGTTGAAAACACGGAAGGCAGTCATGACCATCTCATCGTGCTCATTTGCAACAGTCTTGGATATCTTGTCCTTGAGTTTTTCATCACTGAGAACGTCCACGGCAGGTGTGACGGCCACCTGCTCATTCTTGGCGCCGAGATGGACATTAGCAAATGATGCATAGAGAAGTCTGACCAGCTCTGGGTACGTCTGAATGATTTCAAGAATGTAGTCAGGCGTGAAGGTTTCGGTTCGCAGGCGGCGCTTCAACTTGGAAAGCAGAGCAGCCTGAGCGGGATCGTCCATATCCAGCACGTCAGATAGGGACGCATATTCGGGGCCGAGTCGGTTCAAGAAGTGCTGAACGAAGACCCAAGCCGAATGTGCATAGACAGCCTCTTGGAGGCTGAGGGCTCCGATCGCAAACAGATTGTGAAACTTGTTTTGGGGCAAGCAATACAGAAGTGAAATCTCCTTGGTGATTTGGTGAATTGACTCATCCAGAGGAGGGAAGTAGCCATCGGTGTGGGATGAGGGCTTGAGGTAAATACTCATCACGGTGATACCATTCGAGAACTGCTCTACGTACTTTCTTGAACTGGTAACACCATAGTAATGGTAAAGATCGCTCAGAGCAGAGAACATGCCGCGAGCAGTACGTGTTCGGAAGGCAACAACCAGTCGCTTCTCAGCGACATCCTCAATATCAAAGACCTCAATAACGGGCCCAGTTCGGTTGACGGCGAGTTCAATGATTTCCTGATAGATCTGCTTGGTATTTTCGGTTGCCTTTTGCCAGAAGCCAGCATCCGAAATGCGTTCTATGTTGGTCTCCTTGGGGTCCGTCTGCTTGGGACTTTGAGCGAACTGACACTGGTAGACAAAATAGCATCGGAGAGTCGCCTTTGATGATGGACTGGCGCCAATTACAGCTGGGGAGCGAAAGGTCTCGACACGGTACTTCGTCTTGCCCTGGTGGTCAAGATACTTGGCCTCGAGGCGAGACTCGTATCTAGGTCCACTGACATTGCTCTCGCCTGGTTCACTTGTGTCGATGTATATGGCATGGTCATTTGCTTCCATGTCCAGGCGAATCTCCTCTTTCTTGTCCTCGCGGGAGTAAGCTGCCACCTTGGCAGCGTAAAGAGAGCTGATGTGGTTGGCGATGGCATCCGGTGTCTCGATGCGGAAATAAACATCGTCAATACCCAACTGCTCATAGAACCATTTGATCTGTTCATCAATCAGGGTCTCTGGGATGTAGCCGGCCTGTTGCAGGATGTTTTTGACAGAGTTCATTTGCTCGAGCTTTCCTGCGAACTCAGGGGCGACATAGCCAACAGTGGCAGAGCGAAGAGTTCGGTTGCCATTGCCGTTCGGCAGTGATGAATATGGAAGGCTAACGTGAGTAGGTTGGGGAGAAGGCTTGCGACTGGATTCTTCAGACTGAACATCAGCCAAGAATTTAGACTTGAGTAGTGATGATGCCATCTTGTTCTGTGGTTGTATGTATAGTTGTAAGGTTGGAGTATTGACTTCGGAATACCTGTTAGGCGAGAAATTAGCATATTGCAGTCATTCAACCTGCGTGTTTTATGAATCGATTTGACGATATGAAGCAAATAGATGGGACGATGCCCGTATTTATCAAGCTTCTTCAGTAATTCAGCAACTTGCTGAGATTCCGTGGTATGGTATGAACGAGGGTGACCAGGGTTCGCGAGAAACTCCACTTTGATCCATTGATGCAAGCATGAAGATTTCAAGTCAAATTGGCATAGTCCTGGAAAGGGACGATGTTGGGCACACTATAGGCGCATTTGGGGGGCGGCTGACTTCCAGGCAGAGCGATTTCAAAACTTACCTTCAGAGTATTCGATTTCCTGGCCCTGTCCTTGAATGAATTCTTTAAGACAGATTTATGGCAGGAGAAATATAGCTTCTAATTCGCAACTTGTACAAAGATCCTGAAAAAGCTACTTTTTCGATGATCACCGCTATGCAAGTCGAGATGTGATCGCGGGGTGTGTGTATAGTGGGGCGAAAATGTAGGCCGTCCGAAAAGTCAACGCTTATATGCAATGTCTAGTGAAGACGCAAAAACCGTGATAGCTGCAGAAGTTCGTCCAGACGAAAGCCCGCGATCACCAGAGGAGGTTGTAATCGTTTCGGTGGGAGAGAGAAACGACAAGATTTGAAAGGTGGGAGACTTCCTTGACGTGGCGGCTACTTCGAAAGTTAGCAGAAGGACTTTGGCGCAACAACCCCGAGGTCGATAGGACAATAGACGCCCCAAAACTCCCAGGGCAACCCCAAAGCAGCTCAACCAGCTCCTTAAGGGTCCAGCCAGAGTGTCTGGGTCTGGGTGCGACCAACGCCGAACGGAAGCGCACCCAGCAAGGAATTTGTATCTTAACAGGGCGACTCACAGCTATTTTTGATCTGATGATGCTGGCCGGAAACAGGGAGAGGCACAGGCAGGAAATTAAGGTGATTAGCTTTGGAACAAAGCTGAAGATAACAAAGGCAAAGAAACACCTTCAAGTCAAAATGACGTGCAGATAGGGGTGAGCGGAAGAAGAGTGTGAGACACCGAGGGAAGCTTGTTGATGCCAATTGGCAAAGAGGAAAGGTTTGATGTTCGTCAAAGAGCCAGCACAAGACGAAACTGGGCCATAAGCACCAGGTGTCGGTGCCTTTAAGTATAATTTGGAGCTGGAGCTCCACGACAAAGTTGAGAAAGGGCGGCGTCGTGCTCAAGGCATAATCTTTGCATCATCCGCTTGGACTAGACTTTTGCACGGCAACCAAGCCCGTACCAGCAAACCTGTGGCAAGTACACCCCTCGTACCTGCCGCCGCCCCTCGTGGGGTGGGCCAAGAATCAGTGAAGGGAAGGAGGGGTCCAGACTGGCCCCCCTCCCCGGTTGCGTAAGTACATATGTACATATGTAGAGCGTGGGTACCGTGCGAAGGAGTCATTCGGCGCAGGGCTCGAGTTGCAGGGTTTGAACTTCTATTGACGGGAGCAATTGTTCTCAATTTTAACTCGACATTTGAATGTTGGGAGTGCTGCCATGCACTTCATGTACCCCCGGAGCACCCAGAATACGCTCGCCATCCATCCCTTCGAGCAAGCCGCGTTTGGACCTTCAATGTTCCAACGCTGGGTACGGCAAGTCGCACAGTGGCCACTCACTGAGAACGGCCACCTCCCCCCGGTCTGCCACCAGACCGGACTCGACATCCGAGCTGACTTCTGGTACCAGAATGGCTTTTAATAGAACTTACGGAGCAGATTAAGTAGCTGACACCAGACAGAGCCTCCTTCGTGTTTCCATTCGAATGCAACAACTACGGAGTACTCGAGTACCTACCTACCTACCTACCTACCTAGTAGGTATCCAAGCAGCTCGGTGTGGACTGGTCGCTTCTGTGACGGCCAAGAGCCTCAAAAGCTGGTGGATTCCAGCACGAAGCATTTTACAGCACATGTAGTCCGGTCTTGTCTCGTCTTTGCATCCGCGTTTGGTTCTTGTTATTAATAACAGCAAAACTGTTCAGGCAACTGCTCCAGAATACTACATGTCTCTTGTCGTTAGCGAACAAGACAGTATCCTAGCAAGAGCGGGCGAGGGGTACCAATATCCATGCCCAACTCGTAACTACTTAAGTACCTATAGGAATTTCACGCCCTCTGACTGGTTCACCATAACATCACCAACATGCACACCCGATCGCGATCACGGCCTCAACCGGCTCGCAGGCGTGTTCCAGCGAGGGAGTTCAGCGGCCGCCCCAACTTGCCTCATCATTACCAAATACCAACTGGACACTAGACTGCACCAGGAAGTAGGTGTGGTCCAGGTGGTCGGTTCCTGGCCGCTCAGGTGTCAGGAACCAGCACTGGTGGCCTGTGGCATTGTGGCAGAGCACCAGCATGACTTGCCCACGCCCCTCAGTGGAGAGAGACGTTAGAGAGCCAACTGAGAGGCGGTCATAATATGCTCACGTAGATCAGGTACTTCAGCACCGGTGGATGTATAACGTATGGCTTAGTACCCGGTTTTGGGGTACCTGGGCGTTACCCAAACAAACAGTTATTAGGTACTTAGGTACGTATCTACGCACCATATCCCCGCCTTTTATTCTTCGTGTGAAAATCCAAGTGGGAAGGCAAATGCTGATTTTCCGGCGTCGATGGGGCGGCTATTCGAGGCTTGAAGGAATTTTTCCGGTCGTCGACTTCTCCATGCTTCTGCTGGAGTTCTTTGTTTGAGTCTTGCTGCGGCCATCGTGGGGATGGCTAAGCCTAATCGGTACCCATGCCCCACTCTCATGGTCTGGTACTTGGGTACTAGTTGGCCGTTGCCCAGTCTCGCGACTTGGGGATGCATCAGCAGACAAGTCAGAGATTTCTCTGGTGCATTCTTGGCCGCCCCGGATGTGTTTGTGGCTTTTCCCCAGCTCGCCATCCCCCGGTCCTCTTCGAAAACATGCATTCTAGTGTCTTCCCCAGAGCTTTCTTTAACGATGGCTCGCCGCTTGGGCCACGGCCCTGTACCAAGAGGCTCAGGAATACTACCTTTTATCCCTGACCCAATTATACCTGCCAACGTGGGCCGTGACAACCTCGACGCACGGTGCTTTTTGATTTTGTTGGACCAGGCGCCTGTAAATATCACGGCATATAACTACTCGTTGAAAGCTTGGGTGCCAAAGGATGAATTACGGCTGAACCGTGTGTTCAATCTGATTACCGAGATTTCAACCCATTCGCTGCACCAAAGACTTAGCCAAAGCTTCACATGTCAGGTGTGAGACTATCCAATTCACCGTCATCCAGGATTCCGTGCCAAAGGAATTTGAACCAAGTATACCAAGGACCCTAAGTTTACGTGCTTCAATCCTTTTACGCTAGAGCATCGTTAAGCAAGGCCAAGCAGTCCATCAGTCCAGGACTAGTGAGGAATTCACAAGACATGTTTGACCGTCACTTACACAGTGCCCCGCCTTGGCCGTGTAAGTCTCGACGACGGTACAGTATATGTCACGCAACTTGATGCATCTTGTCAACACAAAGCCGTTTTCACCTCGGATATTGGATAATGAGAAGACCACAATGCTATGTGTGTATTCACCTCTTCGTATGATCTACCACACACTTGTGTTGTTGCTGCGGATGTTCTGTAACTGGAAGTTGACAGCTCTTTTCTCTACAACACGTAAAAGCAAACAAGGTCGAATTGACTATAAGGGACTAGCGTGATGCAGATGGCGTGCATGAGGATTTTACAAGAAAATCAGTACCCCCTCATCTCCGTCTTTTACCGCTTTGTTTGGCGACGACGTTCCGGGGAAGCCATGTCTCAGATATCGGCTTGTTCAAGCACCGAAAGCACGCCCAGTATCTATACATTAGACGATTTTGCAGGGTAAGTTGCATTCTTTGACTCTATCTTCTCTCCTCTTGACCTGATGTCCATCAGCGAGAGAACAAGCCATCTCGAAAACGTCACGGCGGCATGGCACGGGGCGTCGGAGGCGGCGACGGACGGCGCGGGGACCGGAGATGGATCAAGTGTGGCGGCAAGGAAAGGCCCATATTCACACTTGATCACTCGCATATCATTCAAATCATACGCAAGTACTCCGCATCTCAGAGCGCTTGGTACTTTCCATTCAGGAGGCGCATGCATACCCGAGACCTGTCGCTCATTGCCTAAATAAGCTTGCCTACGGCCAATACTTGATGGCCGGGCGGACATGAGTCGGGCAGATGCTGCTGAGCGTCAATTGCATTTGGTACTTGCAGAAAATGACGCTGCCATTGTCTATTCCACAGTGCTAACTTGACGAGAGTGCAAAAAAATTGGGCATTTCCCTTGATTGGCGCCCGTCATGGTGGAAAATATTCAAACATGGGAAATCCACTTGGACAATAGCAGTTGCAGCGCCATTCGGTCGGGGTCCACCTCCGGGGGTCCGCCGGAGGACGATGAGAGGGCTTGGGGGGGGATGAGTGGTGGTGACAGGCCACACGCCGCTGGAAACTGGAGCCACACCGGACCAGAAACATCCATCTCCACCAGAACCGTCGGCCGGCACCCCCGGAGGCAGGCGCACCGTCCCTGTTTGGACAACATTAGGACCAGTTGGCAGCTTTCAATTCAACTTTGAAGGTTCCAGGTGAGAATAGCTGGCGGCGGGCTAGTGATGCAGGATAGGAATAATCGAACTGCCGTGCCAGCAGGGAGCTGGGTTGTGCACAGGCTGATCACTCATGCGCCAGCTGGACCACCTGGACGAAGCCATTCCCGGTTTCTATTACCCCCAGCTTTCTCCATCCCTACCGGTTGACGTTTCCATTACCCCCGTTTTACTTGATCGCAGTTATGGCTGCCCGCAGCGATTCGGCGTGACCTATCAGATGGAAGCCCAGGCACCTGAGCCGATCCACTGGTGGACTTTCTTACGCCCCCAGCGGCCAGCGACGCTCGCTGCACGCCCTCGCCGCTGCCGCCGCCGCCGCCTCTTCCTCCGCACATGGTTTGCTGCCGACGCGCACAAGTGGTATATCGTCAACGACGAGCAGCCTTCAGGACACGCGCCGCGAGGATGGATATGCGGGCGTTGACTTGATCAAGCCCAGGTGTTTTCTTGGGCTATTTCCGCCGCCATGGATGTGTACTCGTGGAGTCAAGTACAACGAGTGTCTGGCCCAATCACACATGTAGCTGATGCACGATTTTGAAGCCGTTGACACCCATGATGCAACTATATGCCTTGCAAATATTGGCACATGATGGAAGCTCGGGAGAACTAGGCAGTGGCTTTGGTGTTATGGAGACCGTGTTAATGCAATGCATCTGACAAATATGGAACAACTTTATTCGCACGCGGTGGAATACGAAGCATCTTTGAGCATCGACGGAGGGCGCAAATCTTCAGCATGGCTTTCCGTCGCCCGCCGTGCATATTGCGCGCTCCAGGCTTCAATACATGCATCCGGTTGGGCATTCCTGGGGCCTCTGGCTTCTCGCCCCTGACATGTGGCTATCATACAATTTGATTCCATACAAGTTGAGCTTCGCGTGCTGTAGCTGTCTGCCATTGGCAACAAGTCGTGGACTTTACTCGGGAGCTGTGCTTTCTACAACCAACCAGTACACAATGTATATATGTATGTACACAATGCAAAGTCTGGTCGTACTGGACGGAACGAGGCGTCACCTGTAACAACGAACAGCCAAGCAAAATGAGCACTGGGCCGTCTATCCGGTTCCCGACAGCAACGCAACGATGCCAGCAAGGCATTGACGGAACACGGAGCTGCCATACTGCAATGCACTGTACTGCGCCAACGAACCCAAAAAGGGTCAACATGATGTTCGAGCCCCCACCCGCGTCACGCTTATTTGTGCTATTGCGAGCGAGCAGGGACGGAGTATACAGAGTAAAAAAAGGTCCCAAAGCAAAAAAGGGGGCACTGGCTTTTCGCCTTTTCTGGCACGAGCATTGATCACGAGGACAACAGGGAGAGAGAGAAAAAGCCAATCCATGCAACAGATGGCGCATTTTCCTTTACCCTTCTTCTCCCCTTTGGTAAAAAAAGACAAAAAATGAAAAGCTTGAACACGGGTCCGTGTCTTATTAGCCTTTTCCAAAACAAAAACGCAGGCTTTGCCGTACCCCAACCGCTGGGGTCGAGTATCCCTGCGCATTGGTCACGATGGCTGATCAAATGCCACTACTGGCCCTTCTGGCCCTTCTGGAGACACGTCTTACGTACAAGCGGCGAAGTCGATTCGATGAAGTCCCCAAGCACATCATCACCAGGCTTCGCACGTAACCCACTGGCCAACCGGCCAACATGGGCATGAACGGCGAGCGGATAAGCGGCTACGGAGTATGCCGTGCGTGCAGCATTTGATTTTTTTGGTATTTTCGTCTTGTGCTACTGGATGGAGCAAGTTTTGTATTGTTATGTATCTGTTTTTTTTTTTTTTACCACCCAGGTAATTTGGAGTTGCGGTGACAACTGCCAGTTTCCCCGAGTGGTACACAGGTGCATGTATACTGCACTCGAGGCTCAGTGGTTCTCCGCACCCGCCTGCATGGAGGTACCTGGATACTCCGTGCTATTATGTACAGCGCTTAATGTCAATTGCCTGCACATGTGCATGCATCGAATTGATGTCCCAATGTTGCGCCAGGCTGCCACTCCCCTGCCACTTCCCTGCCCTTCCTGCATTAAAAAACAACATTGAATTCTCCATCTTGAATGTTTCCGCCCTTCCGAACTGGGCTTCTGAGTCTAACCATCCGCCCCCATGACTCTTTGGAGCCGATCCCCGGATTTTCTCAAGCGGGATCCCTCCGGCTGCTATTTTTGCACCGCCCAAGCGAGCACAGAGTGAGGGGGGGCTGTTATGATTATTATTGTTGTTGTTGTTGTTGTTGTTGTTGCTGCTGCTGCTGCGAGTGGGCGAGGCCCTCGCTCGTTACAGCCTCGATCCGAGTGTTGCGTGCATTCGAAATGCTGTGTGACTCCGGCAATGACACTCACTTGCATTCGGAGGTTGCATTTCCACTACTATTACACGTATGTATGCGTATGTGACTCTGTATTGGAACGTCGATTGAATGGCAGGTTCCTGAATGGTACTCCTTGTTTTGTGTCGGTTGCACCCGGGGGGAATGAGGCTGGCGATTGCTGCGAAGACGGAAATATCGGCCATGCAGCAGAAATGACGATGACATGCAACTTGAAAACATTCAGAGGACGTGGCCCAGATACGTTCTTGTATGAGGGATCGAGTACCGAGTACCGAGTTGCATACATGCTTCGTACATGATACATGGAATTCTGAAAGTCCATGTGGTATCATGCACTCCGTTCCGGCTGATTATCATGGCGACGGCATCAGGGGACCGGGGGGAGTCCCTCTCTTTTGCCTTTTTGTTGCTGTTTTTGAAGCATTTGCATTCTGCATCTGCCAATTGCGAAGTTACCATATGCAGCTTGGATGGCGTATCAGATGGCTCAATCCGCTCAGCATCACCAGCATCATCATGGCTTTCTTTGGTCATTGTGTCCCGTCAGAGGGGCACGCGACCTCGCGCGATGGATTTTCTCGCGTAAGCAATATGCCACGGTCACATATGCCCTCTCATTTCTCAAGTAGAAGCAGCCTAGCGCAGGGAAACATTATACATAGGTGGAGGATTATGGGATGCCCGGCCCCAATTCTCGTCGGCCATGCCGGCACGCCGTTTGCCTCGAGCCAAAGCGCTCGGGGTTTGCTCCATTGCGCCCGTTGACGCCCGACGCTGAACCTTTTGCAGCAGCCAAAATGCGCCACAGCGCGATGCTCCTGCGTAATTTTGGCTCGCCAGTTGGTGTTGGGTGGTCACGATGCCTTCATGGCCGGCAGGTGACAGCTCACAGGGGTGTGATCCGGCTGTCCCCAGACAAGACCATGTTGTACGGAGTATTATCAATAACATTCAAGGGAGGAATTCAGATCCCTCGGCCAACATTCTTCTGCTCGTCTGCCTCGCCCCCGCGGAGTGGCCACGTGCCCTGCCGTGTTGGTGTCGGCGGCGATGGCAAAACGGGGGCATGCGAAATTATCCAATCTCTCATTCGTGCCCGACGATGCCAAATCTTGGGGTCCAAGGCAACGGTAGTTGAATAACAGTTGCAATGTATGTATGTACTCGACCCGCGCTTGCTGGTCCAGGGCAAGTACTGCCTTTTGTCCATAATTTGGTTCTTTCCATGGTTAGAATTGGCCGTTATTTTACACTATCCGTACACCCTAAATCCAGACTGGACTGGAGCGAACGAGCCCCCTGCTTTAGGACCCAGTAACGAGGCATTGCAAACCACATGACTATGCGCAGCCCGTAATTTATATCACAATTCCTTTCTTTCAATTTCGCTTCTCGGCTTTCAATCGCGTTCGTGCACATGCTTATAGTACAGTAGTCTTGGACATGAAACAATTTGACACTGGGATATATCCTCAACATGCCATTTTTACAATGCCCCGAGTCGACATGTCAAATACCCTACACCAGCTGTAATGAGCTTACAGCATCTCTTTCATACGAGTGCATTGTACATGCACGCCCATTTTTTTACGTGGCAAAAATTCCCTTCTGAAATGCACTGGCAAGGTCGAGGTTTATTTAGTTGAAGATGTACTTCTTTCGTCCTACATTCACTTTCCAAAGAATTGCAAGGCAAGTACAGAGTGATTATGCCCAATACTGTGGTTTGTAGCCAATCAGGTTATAAGATTGCTCCGTGTAACCTATGCTTCGCAGAATACCCAGGACTAAAGCCGCGCTTCCTCCATTCGCAGCTTTCGGGCTTTGATGAAACACACAAGTAGGAAAGGCGTTATGATTCACGGGGCTCAAAATGTCATATTTTTGTAACATTTGGTTATTTTCGGTAGTAAGTCGTATATTCTCACTCTCCCGAGAGTTACGAAGCCCCCAACCTAGTTGTGTGGGACTCTGGCACGTGACGTCCCATTTCCTTACCTCCAGATGAGAGCAACACCCTGGTCAGCTGGGTTAGCACCAGCTTCGAGCTAAAAATTTTGAGAGTACGGAGTCTCCGTGACGCAGCTTTCCAAATCAACGGCCACACGCCCATATCGCGAACATCAGCAGGCAGTCCGCATTACACCCAAGTTGCTAGTGCGGTCCCGTATAAGCGACCCTGTATCATCTAATTCCCACCGTATACCTTTTCACGAGCTGCTTGCGCCTCCATCGCCTTTCTCATTGGACGGGGAATCTCGCAGGCTACCCAACCTCTTAACGACGACACAGTTTTAACTGTAGCCATCCTCCCTACCCGCCAAAATGGTTACTCTCACCGAAGTTGAGGACGAGCATTTCCAGTCCTCCCAGGCTGGCCCTGATGTCGATGACGATGACTTCACTGACACTGGTTCGTTCCCATTACCGCCAACTATTTCAGGAGATTGAAGCAGAAGCATTTTGGCTGACGAACCCTTGGTAGACTCTGAAATCTCCAATGACTCTGACTACGACCCCTCCAATGAGACCCTAGCAGAACGCCTGTATGCACTTCGAGATATTGTCCCCCCGACAACGAGAGGTTGGATCTCCAGCCGTGTCAACTCCATTTCCAGCAAGGCCTGGAGCGTATTGTCATTCAGTGGCAAGGGTGCTTGGGTCATTACCACCTCTGCTCTATTCTTTGGCGTACCTTTTGCTCTGTCCTTTGCCGAGGATCAACAACTTACTGCCATGGAGCAGGAGTACAACATGCGACAGACTGGTAGCGAGCTGCTTACCGCCGGCTCCGAGCAGAACACTGCTGATAAAGTTGGAGCCGCCCTGGGTGATGGCCAGGCTAAGCCATCGCTGTAATCTCTTCACTATAATTGGATTATGCCGGAAATTTCTTGAGACATTGTGCGCCCCGACGACAATCTCTACCACGAGCCAAATTTAAGAGGACACGTTGATAGCGCCCTTTTCTGTACAATACTGTGTCGGGACAAGAGCTGAGAGTTTCGCGTCGCCGCTTGATGAAACACGACCGACTGGGAAACCGGGCTTGGTAATATAAATACGAATTGGGGTAGGAAATGAAAATAGGGGGGGATATGGGAGTGGATTTTTTTCATCTTGTTTTCAATCTCATCTCCTATGACGGGCAGGTTCGCATGTATTTTGTCACTGTACCTTAGACTTTGATTCTCTGACTTGTACAATGTGGATAATGAACACCAACACTCGCGGTGAAAATCTCCATCTGTGTCAGATGTGCCTTGAGCAGAGGCTCTTCATGGCTGGCACTATCGCTGTATTTTCGTTGTTGAAAAAGCCGAAGCCCGCATCCGATGAAACTCAACAGATTGGTGTTCTTTGGCCGTTGTAGATATCGACTCACAAGATGGGTAAAGCCACTCATCAGGTCGAACGAATATTGAAGCTTGACTAGTATCGCCCAACCAAATGTAGGGTAGCATCGACTCGGGCGGGGTGTCGTCAACTTGGAAAGGCGTGCTTCGAGGAACTCCATTACCTCGCCTGACCACTAAGAATTGAAGTGCAAATTTGGCTCGCAATGGACTACGTGCTGTTACCAAAGATTGAGGTAAGCTTGTATGGACAGGAGGAGGATGAATCACGACCTGAGCCCCAGCTTTGCGTAACAGGCCCGGCGATGCTAACCTTTGAACTTGGCTGTAGCTACATGCCCACCTGACTGGAAGTGTTTCCCGCCCAACATTACACGAGATTTGGAAAAGGAAGAAAGCGTCGGGCCAAACTGATCTAGAGGACCCGCGGGTAGTCATGCCCGAGGGCAAACACGACTATAACCTTCAGACGTGAGTGACTGTTGCCAACTTTCCACCGCAAAGTCCAAGGCATCGTTGCATGCTTAGATTGCACATGGTGTTTGCCAGGTTTGTACGTGGACGTGTAATGGTATGGCAGAATATTGCAGCAAGATACTATACTCGCATGAAGTGGCGTATTGCCCTCTGGCTCGTCGAGTTTGCCTTGGGAAACTAATGTAGAGCCTGCAGTTTCTTCCCACTCTTCAGCAGCTACATCTACAATCTTCTCACGGACGAAGAATCGATTCGCTACGCGATAAATAGTGTGCTGCAAGACTTCCTGGCCGACGGCGTTGTGTATCTAGAGCTGCGCACCACTCCGCGATCCACAACCACCATGTCTGCAGAGGCGTACATCACAGTCCTCCTCGGCGCTATTGAGGAATTTGAATCGCTTCACCCCCAACTGCACACTCGTCTGATATTGTCTATCGATCGCCGCCATTCCATTCGTACGGCAGAATCTATCCTTGACCTCGCAATTCGTCTACAAGACACAAATAAGTGCGGCGTTGTCGGCATCGACTTGTGCGGAGATCCCACTGCTCGTCCCGGGGGAGAAGTTGCCGTGTTCACTCCCGTCTTTGAGCAGGCCTCTAGAGCCGGGCTGGGGATTACTGTTCATTTTGCAGAAGCAGAGGCCAGTGGATCTCACGATGAGCTCCGCACGCTGCTTTCTTGGAATCCCGGCCGATTGGGACATGTAATATGGGAGGACGAGGAAGCTAGGAAGGTAATTGTAGAAAGGGAACTGTGCCTGGAGCTCTGTCTGAGCTGCAATGTGCAGGCGGAAATGATCCATGGGGGGTTTGAAGGCCACCACTTTGGGCATTGGAAGGACGTCAAGGGCCCCAAGATTTCGCTAGCGGTAAGTCTAGATGGCCCGCCCATGTCTCTGCGTCTTCTCCGAATGGAGAGGAGCCGGGTAGATGGATCCAGACGAAAACTGACAAAGGCCCTACTAGACGGACGATGTAGGTGTGTTTGGGAGCCCCCTTTCGAACGAATACCGACTAGTGGCCCAGCATTTCCATCTCGACCGTTCTCAGATATGCGCTTTGGCTCGGCAGGGAATCGAGGGCATATTTGCTGGAGAGCAAGAACAACAGCGATTACGGGATATAATGTGGAAAGAGTGACGGCAACAACAAACTTAGACATCTAGATGGCACAGAATGTGTTCAGACCGAAATTTGAGCTTTGACGTTGATAAACACTATTGTTGAGTCTTATGCGGCTCGACTTTCCCATTTAGAGAACTACTAGGTACCTGGGTAGTTGCGTTCAATGTTCATTTTTGATTGATGTTGGATGTGGTCAAATCCAAGGCTGCAATTTAGCGCGCGATGACACTCTAGATGTCATGACGTCCCGCCGTGGCGCCCAAAAAAGGCTAACAGCCAGTTGAACCGCGGCTGCCAAGCCAACCAGCATCAACCCTGGCTTTGCCGCAGCCTGCACCTTGTACGTACACCTAGGTGGGAGGAGCGGCGGCGACAAACCACATGTGCACTTCCTTGATCTCGACTAGGCAACCTTCATGTCGGCCTGGGGTATATGGTGCCACGGCTCGCTGCAAGAATATTTTGCGACAAATTCAAAGTCTCTGAAAATTGACCTGTCGCTGCGGGAGCAAGGTCGTCCTCAGCGGAAACCATGAATGTCCGTCAACACCAACTACTTACCAGCTAACGGTCCCCGTCAAGGCAGGAGAGTGCGTGGCTAACCAAGAACCTACAGATCCTTGAATGGGCCTTTGGGAAGCGCATGACGCCGGCTGAGCGTCTACGCAAGAACCAGCGAATGCTCGACAAGGCGATCCGAGAACTCGACCAAACGCGCGTCAAGCTGGAGAAGCAGGAGAAGACGCTGATACAGCAGATCAAGACCAGCGCCAAGAACGGGCAGATGGGCGCTTGCAAGATCCAGGCCAAGGACTTGGTCCGCACGAGGCGGTATATCGAAAAGTTCTTTTCAATGCGCAGCCAACTACAAAAGATCTCATTACGGCTCCAGGTACGACGAGCAATTCATACATACACATGGGGAATAGCTGGGAGAGTTCACTTTGGTGAAGAACAAGGCGACGGCTGACACGAGGCACTTTCAAAACAGACGTACCGAACGAACGAACAAATGATGCAAGCCATGAAAGGGGCCACGATGGCCCTGGGGAGTATGAACAAGTCAATGAACTTACCCCAACTTCAGCGAATCGCCATGGAGTTTGAACGAGAAAACGACATCATGGAGCAGAGGCAGGAGATGATGGATGATGCCGTCGACGATGCCATGGATGTTGGTGTCGAAGAAGAGGGCGATGAAGTGGTCGAACAAGTCTTGGAAGAAATCGGCATTGATTTCAACCAATCCGTAAGTTATCCCCCAACACGGCACTGTATTTTGACCCTTCATTGCCAAAGTAAGCGAGTAGGCTGACGTATCTGGCAGCTTGGGGAGACACCAACGGCCATAGGCAACCCTGCTATTGCGGAAGGCAAAATTGCACAGGCTGTTGGCGGAGGGAGTGGTGGTGACCCAGTTGATGATGACCTTCAGGCCCGACTTGATAGCCTGAAGAAGTAAAGTGGCGCGATTATCACTTTCGGTGTGCGAGACATCACTTTACTATACTACTCCGTACATCTACTCCGTACTTTTTTTTTTTACGGACGACGACTATCGCAGAGGCCGGGCGATTTTTTTCTTTTCTCTTTCCTTTTCTCCACTGAGGCGTTTTGAGTTTTAGAGAGACGAAAGACGAAGACGATGCTTTTTTGTGGTATGCCGGCCCAGTTTGCCCCCGGCAGGTATAAGCGTTGTTTCTCGCATAGTAGCTTGCGGGCTGGAATATATCTTGGTTTCATGCTGTTGGCAATTATGCTGTTGGCAATTATGCTGTTGGCAATTTTGGGATTATCAACTGTCAGACCAGCAAACAAGGTCCAGAACAAAGAGCGTCATGGCAATGACATAAGCGCAGAAGGATATGAATGCGTCTCGCCAATGCTCTGATTGACCATGAGTTTGATTGAGCGCGAGTATTCCGAAGAACCCGCGAGCTGTTGTCGTGTATTAGATGCCGCATGACCCGTGCGAAAATAGGGGCTGTGGGGGGGCAGGGGAAACATTGAATGGGGGGAGGACATGTGCAGGATGAAGGACAGACGGAGCAAACTCTGAAGACGGACTGACTATTGTAGACTTTATTTACTATGGACATGGAATATCGGGGAATGGAATGTATTGATGCTCTGCAGATGCCTGGAGGTCGGTCGGTACATTTGGTACAGTGATGGTTGGGAGAAGCACTGGAAGCGCGTGCCATGCCGAATCCAAGCAGACCCCAGACTGAAGTGTTCAACAAATTGTCAGGAACACGGAGCAGCCAAGCAACCTTGTTGCGTCCGGATGTCCGGGCCTTTGTCGGAACACGCTGTTATCAACGGGCGCGCCGAACGGTACTCGGTAACGCGTTCAGAGTACGGAATGGCCCCAGTCAATCACCTGTCACTCCCGACTCGACTTAGCTTGACGCGGAGCTGCTCAGCCACTCTGGCTGGTTCAACAAGGTGACGTCGTCTGGGTCCAGAGCGCCAACACCCAACAGGAACCGGCGGAGAGAGACATCTGGAGCTCCCCAATGCTCGATGATAATAGAAAGACAATACGTATTAGTGCGTACGGAGGTACTTGCATACTTTGCAAAGTAAGGACCGCGGGAATAGGCGATTGACATGTTGCATGTTGGGCATCTAGCACCTACCCCAGCAAATCCTGCCCTGCCCTTACTTTAGGTACCTGGGCAGGCACTTCCGTACATTGTTAGTAATCCCCCCCCCCCCAGCCAGCTGCCCCAGCCGGCCAGGCTGTCCAGAACCCCGCCAGAGCCTCCGGATGCCAGTCCGCCACCAACTTTAGAACTGAGAAAGACCCCTCATTTGCTCGTTTGAGCACGGTCAAGCGGTCCATTTCTCCTGCATGTCGTCCAGCGCTAACACCCGTCGTCGCCCAGCCCAA